GGCTGCGATGAAAAATACGGAACGCATAGCAAAGTCGTCACGCATATTATGTTTATGTAATTCATCATGTTTACATAAACATAGGACTCTGATTATCATTGTTTACATAAGTGATGCCGTCGACCGAGGACGTCGACCTTCCCCGCGCTGCTATCTTCCTCGTGCCTACGAGTACCACTGCGACTTCCCCCTGCGTCTACAAGTGCCCAGCGTCCCCTCAGAGGACCTGAGTTAGAACCGCTATAATATTTCTACTTAAATCTTTTTGGGATGGTATTATTTGTAAGATTTGACAAGTTTTTAAATATTTTTATAATAAATTTACGCTAAATTTACGCTAAATTTTTATAATAAAAGTATTGTTATAACACATTTTACACTTTTGTAGATTGTCTAATCTTGACATTCTTGGTGACTGTGAATTGCCATCACGCGCTACCTCGCGGGCATGTGGCTAATATTCTCCGCTCTCTGTGTATAAGTTAATTCGTTGCCTTCGCTCACCCCGTTCGGCACGTACAGTGATGATGTTAATATACCTTTTTGTGCAATTCACCGTATTTCTTCACCACAATAGGTTATGGGTATAATTCACGAGTTTATCGAATGAATAAGAATTTCTCGAAGGATACGCCAGAAGTAGGTATGTGCATCGTCATTTTCCTTTGTGTAACTCCTTTTTTTTTTCTTCGACCGTTCGAGATGCATGTCAATATTTTCCCGACACCTTATGATTACTCTGCGAAAATTTGTTCATACATGTCAGGTCGTCATTCTCTCGACACGCGTATCGTGATCCTGTTCGGATCGTCAAAGGTTACCGAAATAGACTGAAACGAAGGAACAATGGCGGATTCATGCAAAAAACGTGACAAAGTTCGATGGACAAAATTTCCAGTTCTGGAAATTTCAAATAAGTGCAATTCTCATAGCAAATGATTTGCTCGATATAGTATCAAGGTAAAGCCGGAGCAGAACAAGGACAAATCGCCTGGTTACACAAGAATGCCAAGGCAATAGTGCTTTTGTCATCTGCGATGCACTACTCGCAACTAGAATATTTGATTACATGCAACAGTGCTGCTGAAATGTGGACGAAGCTATCGGCAATCTATGAACAAACCAACGCAACGAGCAAGTTACTGCTTACGACAAGATTCTATGAATACCGTATAAAAACGGGCGATTCAGTTTCGTAACACATCGCTAAGGTGAAAACATGGCGAGACAATTCAAAGATGTCGGCGAAGAGATCTCTGATATCACAATAATGGCGAAAATTCTTGGACCTCTACAAGAGAAATACAATGCCTTTGTAACTACCTAGGACAGTGTGGAAACAGCCAATCAAATAATCCCTAACCTAACCTAACGCAGAGACTTATCAAGGAGGAGATGCAGCCGACGAGACAGCGAGTGCATTAGCGGCTGAAACTACGCCAGGAAGCCTCAGAAAGGAAAAAACCCGCCAATCCCAAGAAGGAGATACCGAGCGCGGAAAGTACAAAAATTATGAGTGTTATTATTGTCATAATAAAGGTCATATTTTCCGTAATTGTAAAAAAAGATGTAATGATACAAAAATGTCAGGATGAAAAGAAACACGAGTAACGCGCGGAAAAAATGCGACGCGAGCAATAAGCACGAGAACGGCGCTGTAGGTCTCAACGAGTTCGTTGTTAGTAATGATATCTCTATGACTGATCATATGTGCGTAGACGACGCGTGATTCTGCGACAGTGATGCTTCGCAGCACATGAATTTTCCAAAAGAATGGTTCGCGGATTTTGAGGCGTGTGATAACGTGAACGTTAGCCTCGGTGATAATTCAGTTTTCGAGGTCAAAGGCCGTGGCGCGATTCTTACAAAAAAAGTTAGCAAACCGCGACTGGCAAGATGGTAGATTAGAGAATGTATTGTATGTCCCAGCGCTGCGTAAAAATTTGTTTTCGATTGATGCCTGTATCACAAGAAGCCATTGTTTTTCGAAACGATAAAGTTGATACTTATTCGAAAGATAACAATTTAATCGCACAGTATTAAACAGAACAATAATTTATTTAAACTAGCATTTGTTGTAACTGCAAAGTATGAAGCTGATATCGTTTCAGAAGGCGACTTAAAAACTTTGACATAATCATCTGCGACACGTCAATCATAAATATTTACAAGCAGCAATCGAAAACAATTTAATTAAGGACGTAAGTACTTCCAAAATGCTTAGTTTTTTCTGTGAAGATTGTCAATACGGCAAACAACATCACTTCGCATTCAAAAAGCTAAAATTTAAAGGAAACATCAAAGATGAATTTATTCACATCGACTTGTACGGTCCGATGAAAAACTCGTCCATAGGAGGCGCGAAATATTTCATCCTATTCAAGAATCATTATACTGGTTTTCTTTACGTGTACTTCCTACGACATAAAGATGACGTGTTTGATGTACTCAAGGAATATGAAGTGATGGTCATTAATAAGTTTGGTCGGAGAATCCAAACGATACGCTCCGATAATCGTCTCGGTCAAAGTTAGCGATGCCATACGAAGCGTGGATGGGCAAGAAACCAGATCTTTCACACGAAAGAGTTTTTGGGTGTAAAGTGTATGTTCATATTCCGAGTTAGCAAAGAAAAAAATGGGATTTGAAATCTAAAAGGCTTATTTTTGTCGGCTACCAAGGAGATTAAAAAAACTATCGTTTGTTATACAAAGATGATAACTATCTCGCGAGGTGTCAATTTCAACGTGTCAGTACAAAATTTATACGCCCGGCTGTAAGCCTGTCTTTTCCAAGCGAGAAAAATGTATCAAGCGGCGATGAGCAATCCACTCAAACAAACCACTGTGTTCAACGCAAAACTAGCCAAAGCGAAAATGCGCAATGTGAAATCCAATCGAGTATCAATTCGCGATCGAACCTATGAGATCGCAATTTATTGCATGCGCCATGCTGATACGAGGCTTGTTTTGTCTCGTACGTCGAATTAAAAAATATAATAAAGCCGTGACCGGGAAAGAATCAGAAAAATAGACCTAAGCTATTCGCTAGCGGTTTATGATCAGAATCAAATGGGAGATAACGACCTTACCTCGCGATCGCGAAGCCATAGAGTATAAGTGGATCTTTAAAATAAAGACAACGTCGCGCATTATAAGGTATGTTTATGCGCTCAAGGCTTCTCGCAGAAAGCCGGTATAGATTTTAATAAAATTTCTCTCCAGTCGTACGATATGATTCTATTCGAACGCTTTTGTCAGTTGTCGCAGTCAATGATTTAAAAGTTTATTAATTCGATGTCAAAACCGCTTATTTGAATAGCGAATTGGAGGAAGAGATTTACATGTGTTCCCGAAGGTGTGCGCCTCAAATAGTAATTCGGTGTGCAAACTTAATAAATAGTTCAGAGTAGCGCTACAAATATGTTTACTTCAGATCGATTAACGGTGATAAAGTGTATCTTGCATTATACGCATTAGGTACTAAACTTAATTTCCGCGGTTCACATTTAGATGACGTTGTAGATGTAATTTATTTTGACATCTAAAGCTGGCTGCATTTTAGAGGTTAGACATTTGTCAATAAAATTCAATGCGAAAAGATTCATTTAAGCGAACAGTGCCATTTTTTTTAACCGAAAATGCCATTGCGAATCGCTTAAATATCTCTATTTCTCTGCTCGTCAAACAGAAACAAAAGAGTTTTTTGTGTCGCGAATTTGTACTGGCGATGAAAAGTGGACCTATTTTAATAATTCCAAAAAGTCATGAGTGGACCCTGGTCAACCATCAACATACCAAAGCAAAATATCCATGGCTACAAAGCAATGCTCTGCATTTGATGGGATATGCAAGGCGTTGTTTATTAACGAGCTACTCAAATCGAACGAAAGTATCATGGGGGATCGATATCAATCCGATTACAATTGAATCGTCTGACTGAAGCATTGTTGGAAAAAAGGCTAGCAGTAGCCAGCAATCGACGCAAAGTTATGCTTTTGCACGACAACGCTTGACCGCACGTTGCAAAAACCATCAAGGAAACACTGATGCAGCTCGAGTGGGAAGTTCTTCCGCACCTAGCGTATTCACCAGACTTATGTAACTCCTTCAGACTATTACTTGTTCCGATCGATGCAGCACGGCTTGGTGGATACACACTTCAGAAATTATGAGGATGTGCAAAAATGGATCGATGAATGGATTGCTTCAAAAGACCAATTGTTCTATCGTCGCAGAATCCACTTATCACCACAAAGATGGGAAAAATGTATAACTAGCAAGAGCAAATATTTTGATTGATGTATTTTTTGTTTTTAATATTGAGATAAATGAATTTTTAAGCAAAAAAACCGCGAAAACTAAGTTTAGTATCTATAATAATAATAGATGATGGGCTAATGACTTCAAAAATTGAAACTATGAATTTAATTATAGGCGTTTTAAAGGATAATTTCGATATTACGACATAGAGCTGACTATTTTGCAGGAATACAGATAGACCGCGTCAATAAGACAATCTTTATTCACCAAAGAAAATACATGAAATGATTGAAAAATCTATCCTGCATAAATTCGCAATGCGTGACGCACAAATGTTAGCATTTCTGCAGACCTACACGTCAGTTTAGAAAAGGTTCCCTCCAATAGCGAAATATATGATATTCCATATCGCGAAGCTGTTGGATCGCTCCTGTTTGTGTCATTAGTTTCGAGGCCTGATATTGCATACGCAGTAGGACTTGTAAATAGATATTTAGAGAGACACGGTAAACCCCATTGGCAAGCAGTCAAGCGAATATTTTGTTACCTAAAAGGTACCAAGAACTACGGGATAATGTACACAAATGGGAATGGACTCGAATTACTAAGATTCTTAGATTCCGATTATGCCGAGATATAGAGCCATAGCTCCGAAAAATGTTGCTAAAAAATTTTCAGATATTGTTTTATTATTGAAAAGTAATATAGGGTGCGGCAGAGAAACTTACTTCTTTGAAAAACGCGCCAAACGGCAAGGGGTGAAGGTAGGAAGCTGGGAGGGGGTGCGTCCGAAAGGATAGGTCCTCAATTTTTGTTCCCCCCACAGCCAGTCTCGATCATGCTTTGGACAAGAGAGCATCGCGCGTTTTGGCGCGGTAATGGCCGCTCCATTGTCGCCACTCAACGTGCCTTTCGAGCGCGCTTGACTCCATGCGACTTCTTCCTATGGGGTTATTTGAAGTCTATTGTTTACAACGATCGACCAGAGACCCTAGCTCACCTGAAGACAAACATTCGGAACGCCATCGCCGAAATACCGGTGGACATGCTTCAGAGAGTGACGCAAAACTTCAGAAATCGACTCAATCAGTG